CGAAGTGGGCAATGCCATAGACGTCGTTTCGAAACCGAGTGCTCGAAAAGCGGAAGGTGACCTTGGAAGCTGAAGTGCGAGACGTTGAGAGAGCCAAGTCTGCGAGTGCGTGCAAGGAGACACCGCATGTTGGGCAGATAACGTTACTGACCCAACAAACATGGTAGCACTTTGGAATGGGGCGGATCCGAGGGTCCTGCATATAAATAGATTTATCCCCGAACTGTCGTTCCATTTCCAAAACAAATTTAGCAGAAATATAGGAACATACAACAGGTCCTAGCAGTATAGCTATCTCATATTTTATTTTTGGCGTGCCTTAACCCCTGTAAAGGGGGAATGACACGGAATAAATAAAACATGAGATAACTATGGCTGAAGAACCCACTATGTGTTAACATATATTTAGGATATATGTTTTGTAAACAGCACGCTAGTTTCAGAAATACAGTTGTTTTTGTCACAGACCCTTGGCTCTGCCTACTGAGATGTTTGGAGGTCCGTGTCGCGGCCAGCCTCTGCTGCACGCGGGCCCGTGGTAGCACCGCGGCGCAACCCACGGAGCTGAGGCTGACCTACTGAATACACTCCCAAACTAGGCTCTCTCCATCCTCCATTCTCGCAACTGTTCTCGCGCTACCGGCTAGCTTTCCTTTCTCCTTGACATTTAACACGTGCGACCAGCGATGAATGTGGCGGAGAAAGAGAGGCGCAGACAGGAGCAGGTGCTAGGAGTTAGGCGGCAGGGTGGCAGACACTGTGCTCACAAAAGTGCCTAGGCGAAGAGAATCACCGAGCAGGGCGAGCCTGAGTCAGCATCACGTGACCCACGGACTCCATGATGTGACTATCGGAAGCAGGGGTGGAGGCTGGTTATGTCGTATTCTGTCAGGGTTGTCTGATCATTTCTTACAAATGATCAACATCAGAAAATTAATTTTTGCAATTACTAGAGCTCCAAAATTCGTGAAACTTACTGTGAACACTATATTCATGCCATAACCCCTTTCAGCAAATAAGCCCAATCTCCTCATCACCGTTATGACAGGAAAAAAGTTCGCTGGAGTGACTCCGTCTTTAGAGGGGGAGTTATGTGGCGACGCCAGTCTGCATGAGCGGACAGCGCCTGCTGAACGCCAGCCAGAGCGCGCGCAAAATGGAATACACCAGTTTTAACCAAATCTGCACGTTGTGCGGTTGTGTTTCCTCTGTCTTTCGCCACAAATTCAAAACGGTAGTGTGCGTAGTCAGCGGCTTTGCATTGAGCATGTCGAATAAGCTCAAGTACAACTGCTTAGTTCAAGAAATACAAGAAACAAAGTACTCCCTATCGAAATGGTTAGTCCATTTATGCTTTCCCAATGCAGGCATGCTTTAGACCCAATAGAGACCTCCTAAGACTATGCCGCAGTATCAAGAGTGTTCTTGAATCAACCAGACTGTCCAGCGGTAACGTGTCAAATTACTGTCGAGACCGGTTTTAACAAACACATGCGCATTCCATTTATTTGCTTATTATTTGTTTGGAAATACTACTGGCTCCACTCAAGGAGGCTTCGTGCGAGTGGGTACACTACGACAAAAAGTACAGTCATAAATAGAAACAAAAAAAGGAAAAACTCGGGTAAGTAAACTTTCCACAGTAGTAATGAAATTTTCAACATGAGTTAAGATGACAATATTGCTTGGTAGCTCATTCCAATTGTTTTAAATGCAAATCTCTATCTGTAAAAAGAAAGAAAAAAAAAGTAAAGAGCTGTGGATCTGTGCAGTTTCTCCTGTCATAAAATGCTTAAATGGGCCAGTTGGTACATCATGAAAAATAAGAGCCGAGGGAACATGTGTTCCTTCGGCACTTATTTCCCGTTTCTCCTGTCATCAGTATGTAGTAAAATTTTGAGCCACTAAAAGCCTTTGTTAAATTTCTCCAATATGTGAAATAAAAAAAAAGTACATAAAATTGATGATACTGTAGTGAGTGCGCAGGCGAGCTGGTGGAAATTAACCATTCTGATGTTAGCCTGAGACTGAGGCAGGAAAAGAGGAAGTTTCAAAGTAGAAGAAAAAGGAACAGTCGAGGATACGAGACGTATCCTCGACTGTTCCTTTTTCTTCTACTTTGAAACTTCCTCTTTTCCTGCCTAGGAACAGTCGAGGATACGAGACGTATCCTCGACTGTTCCTTTTTCTTCTACTTTGAAACTTCCTCTTTTCCTGCCTCAGTCTCAGGCTAACATCAGAATGGGTACATAAAATTGGTTTTTGTATGTACTTATTTACCATATTAATATAGTACAGGCTGTCAGATTTTAATTCAAATATATATATATATATATAAAAAGGGATGATCATTCCATGTAGACCATGTATATATCAGGCTCGACAGACATTAGATAACGGAATGACCGTCATAGTAGGTTGGCTATTTAACTAAAACCTGTCAATTAATTTTCAATAATTGGCTTTATGGGTAATATTGTAATCGCAGTACTGACGGCCGTTACGAGTTACGGCTAAACAATTAGAACCGTTTTTAAAATGCCAACGGGCTTCGAGACATGCATCTATCAGTTTTGGTGGTGGAAAATATGGATGAAAAAGGTGATGGAAAATAGACGACACAGATGAGTGACTCCAGGCAAATGTTAAAGGGGCTTTGCAATCATATTTAAGCGTCTACCTTTTTTGCGGTTTCCACGTCTCTTGGGGTTCGGGCAAGCAAGCGGGCACAGAGAGAGTAATTAAATATCAGTGCGTCATATTTTAACCAAACGACGCGGAAACCTCCTCCACCTACGGGGGCGACCCGCGGTGCCGAAAGCGCGCGAAATGTGAAGTCTTTGGTTCTGGGCTTACTACTGGTCAGAGCCGCTGAAAGCTTCTTTTAGTCGAAATACAAAATATAAGTGGACCGAACCGTTTCAATTATTTATAAAAGTAGTTTTTGTTCGGTATTTTAGATTGGAAAGGAAACAAATGCAGTTTATAAAGTACGGAAACAAGAAAAACCCGTCACCATACCCACCACCAAGCGGTGGAAAAGGCGGCGCATACTAGAAAGGTGTAGTGGGATCAGGAACCGACGAGCAGCGAGTGTAGAAATGTCTCGGATGTACGCGGCGGCGTTGCGCTCAAGGATCCGACCGGTTCCAAGCGTTCCGAAGGCCTTCGGCGAGAAGGTTTGGCTTGCGGTTTGGCCGTTAGGCGGTATGGCAGCGCGAAGTGGCTTTTGTTCTGAACTGATCTTTACCCCGCATTTGCTGTCCTTTGTGGCCAATGAAGTGTCATGCCGAATTAGTGTTTGATTGCGCAGCAAATGCAATGTGAGCTGCCCTGGCTGCCCGCTTCATACAGCCTATCCGGAACATGCTTTAGTGACGCCCTCTCGAGCTGTTGACACGAAGTGCGGCAGCTGTGACCGCTCACTGAGCTCACTACCACTCCTCTAGTTGACGGCCACTTTAGTGGCCGTCACAATTAGGAGAAAAAGAAAAAAAAAAATTTAAGGTGGGTTAGAAAGCAAAAAAGAGGAAAAGAGAAATGTTCCCTCAAGTGTGGCTTGTAGTAGAAGAGGAAGAAAAAGAAAATCAGTTGTTAGTCCAGCGGTGTGAATGGTCTTTTCTTTATGTGTATGTTTTTTCTAGTTCAGCTGGCCTTAAGTGAACTATGAAACAACTAGCTCAGCTCAAGCCTGTTACATACCACTCAAGCGACCAAGGACGTCATGAAGGAGGTTATTTTTTGCTTGTTTTTGTAATTTTAATTTGCCTATAACTTTCAAAATAAAGCGAAATTCGAGAAAAGAAAAGTTTCATCAAGTTACTACGTTCAGTGCGTACAGGTTCGGTGCAAATTAAAAACCATTAAACAAGTCTTTGCAGGGCCCCTTTAAATTACACGAAGGTTATTTTAAATGTGATCGACAGCTGCTGTCTCTGTGTTTCACAGTTGCAGTGTACTGCACCTCCCATTCGACAGAGGCATTAAACGCGACTCCGAGCCCGATTCTGTCAGCTGTGTCATTATCCTTCATTCTATTTTTCAGGAATGAAGCTACGCCTTGAAATTTCACAAGGTAAAACGCACCACTCTGATGAAAATTTTAGCTTGCTATGGGCCCGACGTCAATTCTTTGAGAAGAAAAAACACCCTACAGTACCGCACAGGTATCTTAGTTACCCATAGACTGCTTTGTAAAACCCGCTCCCTAGCATGCTGCTTGAGCGGCTATGGTTGGGTCCGTCCCATAATTGCCTTAAGACTCTTGTAGGGGGAAGGCCTTGCTCCCCATACCGTAAAATCCTGTAAAAGCGTCCTCTCCCAAGAGATTGCTTATCCCGTTTTTCTGGTTAAATATCTACAACATAAAAATTCCGAAATATCGGCCACCCTCTGGTCCTGCCGGGCATGACGCGATGTCCAACGGGAATCACATGAACCGCAAGATCTGCGGTACCGGTACGTGTGACAAGAGTTCGTAGCGGGTTCACTCGTTTTTGTCCACGATTTGCACAAGCGATATTGATTCGTGCGACACGCAAGTTGACCTTGCATGTTTATTGCATCGTAAAATGAGAGTGTGCTGCGTCTGTAATCTCCAGTATTTGTTCCCATGACATGCGAGTTCATACAGAGTTCCCGCATCTGTTTTGTCCGCAGTCCGCACGCGCGCTATCAGTTCCCGTGACATACGAGTTGTCCCCGCATGTTTATTGCACTGTGAAACGCAAATCTGCTGCATCTGCGATTTGTGCTATCGGTTCCCACGACAAGAGTTTGCGGCAGGTTCCCGCGTGTCCTTCACACTGTGTAAAGCAAATCTGCAGCGTCCGCTATCCGTAATTATTTTTTCCATGACACAGTAGTTTGTCATGGAACTTATACGGAAACAGAACCCAAGATGTGGGCACACTAGATATACATATACTATAGCTTTCGTTCACATGACTTGCAGAACAGACAAATGGAACACAACAAAAGTTAGCAATGAATGCCCATACCTGGTGGCAGGTCATGTCTGGCTCGTCGGTGCTATCCATTGGCACAGTCCTTGGGTTTATTGTAAACTAGTCCTGGAATAATAATAAATGAGGCTTGTTAAAATGGTGTTTACAATCTTTGTCATTCATTAATCCCTTCATATACATATCATGTTACAACCCAAATGCGGGATCAGAGATTAATAAAACTAGTTTACTATAAATATTAAGAGAGGACACTACCCAAAAGGGTTAACTTTTGAACCTTTGGATTAATATGAATGAAATATACAGGGTATACTGGCTGCTGCGAGGCAGAATGCAGTGCAAAGTTTCATCTGTGTACATGAATTGTGAAAAAATTATAGTAATTTTTATTAGAAACACACTGACATTGTTTAGGAAAACTATCGTTAGAGAACTAATGTAATACCCAACATTTTTCTTCACTGGATGCACATCAGAATGCCTGAAGAGTACAACTGTGAAAACAAAATTTCCAAAAAAGTAATTGATTTTATGCCAACGTCACGCTGAAAAATTAAATAATTTTCTTAACCTTTCTGTTGTCGACAAAATCTTAACATCTTTTATAAAAGACATCCACAAAGTAAGAAACAATGCGATAGTTGCATCACCTATTAAATTCAAGTTAGGAAAAACAATGAGAGAGCCAAACAATAGTTTTCCTAAAATTAAATTTATGCCAAAAAGTGGAAGTGGAATTTGAAGTGCTCGAACCTCTACCTTTTCTTTAGCACTGGTGGACTGAAATTAATTTATAAGGAAATAACTATAGAGTGTCAACAAATAAAACTTTCTGGGAATACTCTTTAGATGTTGGTGGATGTAAATATGACATTTTTCAAAATCAACTTTTTAGCAGACATTTTTTTTTGGGTACTGTCCTCTCTTAACATTGATCACTGTGCCTTACTGCTGAAGTTCATGCTGTCTACACACTTCTATGTAGAATATTTCAATATTTTCGGTTGGAGGAACATCTCAACTGCCGTGTTTACTTACTTGAGAATTGTGAACCAACTGTGTTACGAATGCTCAACTCAGCAAATCTAAGATTATAAAATAATCAGACTCTGCCTACTGAGCTTATAACCAGGCGTTTGAGTTCAACGGCATTACTTTCTAGACTCAGTGTCATCCTAAGATGGCCAGCAGCCAATGCTATGATATGAGCCATCCAAACCAATCCAGCACTGAGCATATCAATGCAACTTTGCATTCCGCACACTACTGCCCCCTACCAATAGGTCTTGTGATACTGTCTTGGCGTTGATCGGCTCGTAGCATTACATGGTCCATCTAAGGACGACACCGAATATAATAAAGGCTTATACCCTTGTCGGATGAACATGTTAAAGGAGATCAGAACAAACTCGTTTAAAGGAGTAGGGGAACAAAATTCCAGCGCTCATTTTATAGCTTTAATCTGTTGCATGTTGCAGCATAACCTCAAAAACACAAGGCTTGCAATGAAAGGCACAAGCAAGCTAATTTTAAAGCTAATTAAACAACCTTTCAATGTGCACCTGGTGGATGCATGCAGAGCCTATTTGGGAGGTAATCTATCAACGTTGGGGAACTTGCTACATAGTCATGATGTAGCAAGCTCCATCGGAGCAGCGCCACTCTTTGGAATTTCAAAATTTTCCTTCTTAGCTTTCCTCCTCAACTCACAAATCGTGCATTGAACAAAACAGTCCAAGAAGATGGAAAGGAGGGACTCCCCTCTTTCTCGGACCCTCGTTTGTGCACCCGGATACAGCCATACTCCCCCTAGAAGATTAGCCAGTCGCTCATAATTTGAACAAAAGTTGCTTTTCCCAGCCCGTTCACCCCTAAGCTGACAGTGCTGTGGAAGCTACGTGCTCCTTGGGCCAGCCACATGCTCGTCACCCCACAGGTACTTCGAACAGCTCGGTTGTAACGCGTTGACGCTATTGACACCACCACAACACCTGACAACGCCACCAACAGCAAAGCTCATAACAACGCCAGCCTCGCTACGCCACGAACATGGGAAATCTTTTCTTTCTGTTTTTGTTTACGTCGGATATCCCATGACATATCGCGCTCTCCGTTCACTTCTCTTGGAGCGCTTGCTCGAGTGCACCGTTTGGAACGAAAAATATAGCCAGTTGTTCAAAATACAAACATGCGATTATCATTTGCGGTTATAATCCGTCATGCTTGACTCATTTCCAAATGAAATTTGAATATTTCAATTTTTGTTTCAGTACCCCTTTAAGGGATGACACCACCTTCAACAGTCGACTTTTAGAAGAGTCGGTCAATATTGATGAAATTTAAAGGGTCTATTCATCTCTTTGCCGAAATGCGCTGTATGACGTTTCATCTTTGTAGGACAATTCTACGATAAGCTACAGGGGGAAGTATACAGCCATTGATGTAAGTTGTCTCACTTGGCAAGGAAATTGATCATATAAAATTGCTGCAAAATATTGAGCATTTTTAAGCTTCAGCCATAACTAGAACATATGGAGGGTGCAGCTTTCTATTTTTTTACTCTGAAATCTCTGCGTTTCTATGCAAAATGACATTTTTGAAAAGCATTTCATATAATGGGACAGTTTTTCCTCAACAAAACCCTACTTTTTGGCAAAAAGAACTTTATTTAAACAGAAAAATAAATATCTAGCCACATTCCTCATTAACTTTCAATTTAGAAACATCCACAGCGAACAATAAATTCTGCAATTCACTGAAATAATAGATTTCCTAAAATGAAAGTTGCTGCAAAGATGTGAAACTGAGAAAAACCTGTTTGAGGTTTCCACACCACTACATTTGATTTTACTGGTGGTGGTAGCAACTAAAAGGCACCAAGAGCATAGGTGGTGCCTTCTGCTTACACCCGATCTCCTGCATGGCCTTGCTAAGCGAGTCTGAGCTTAAAACGCTTTCTTCAAGTGTCATTTTGTTGTCGACATGTGGACATTGATTATGAAACGAGTGAGGAACTAAATATGCTTGCAATACACAAACCAGCGTCAGCAAAAGACTACTTCCATAAATTCCTGCATGCAACACTTTGCGCGTTGCACTTTGGGAACTAATTAATTGGCCAGGGAGGTGAGTTGCATGGTTTTTGGTTTCGATCGACACATCGACAAAAGATCATACACAGAGCGTGGACTATTAACGGCCGTTATCTCATGTTTTCAGGTCCTGAGAGCATCATTTTCGGTCTCTAAACTAACCTAAATGGCCAGACCTCGAAGCTTTAGCAAAAGTCCGAACCATACATATAGTTCGTCTTGACACATGCTTGTTGTATTTTTGTACTCTAGCCATTCTGCTAGCGTTTCGAGGTATGTGTACGAGCCAGTGCTGGGAATCTCAACACTGCGAAGCTCGGGGATCTTGCTTGTGTACGAGTCAACACGCTGTAACAACCAATAAGTATGCATGCATCAAGCTCGCAACTTTACATTAGTGTTGCTGGCCAGGAAGTTTGTTAGTTTTGTGCGTCCATTGACAAAATATAACTTTTTGCAATTACTGTTTTTTTTAATACGCCTGAGTACGCGAGGTAAAACTCAGAGACGCAATTGAAAAGCTCAAATCGAACACACCTCTTATTTCTTATCTGTACTGACCCACAGCACTGCGCGAAGTGAAGTCCCCTCCCGCTGGCATTCTACTAATTCAACATCGCGTATGTGCATGAAGTTATCCTGCAATCATATATGCACATTCGCACATACAAACCGTTTTATAAAAGCAAAAGTCAAGCACTTGTGTGAAGAATGTCGCACCGTTCGCCGAACGTGCGCCAGTCGGGCGTGAACCCCTATGCAATGCGCCAAACTAACAAAATCTTTCAAAGCGCATTTCACGGTTGCTAATAGCCATAATATATTGTTATGTGTTTGCTTTCTTCCTGACTGAGTATGCCGAGATATTAATTTCAGACAGACCGTTCAGACACAGATCTTGGGCATCAGTAAAAGCTCATCCAAAAAGGCTTAGCGAGGAGTAGGGGAGGCTTGTTGGGGCCTCCTTCGTAGCTAGCCGATCTCAGCATTTGCGAAAACTTAATCTCCTATCAGCATAAAATTTGAGTGGGAGATATGTGATGACACGAGGAAGACATCATAGTAACTTTTGTGCAGTAGTGAGGTCAAATTTATTGCGTTTCCTTAAAAGTTCATGCGCCAACGCTGGGCTCAACTTTGATACTCGTGCGAGGATGTCGCTTGTTTTGCGCCCAATGAAGTAACAAGAAGTGGACGTTTGGCAAACAAAATATGTGTAGGCTCAAGGTGACCAAATTTCAGTTGTAGTTCACTCGTACTAGACAGGATTATTGAAATTGAGCTCAAAGATGCAATTGAGGGTTGAGGTGACCAAGCCACGTCTTACTACGTTTGCATACGCATGCACAATATCCGGTGTTTCGGGAACCAAGGAAATGTTCCCCGGTCTTCGTTTTGTATCACTCGAGAATGAGAGCATTCTACATTCGTGAAAAGTCAAATAACCGAAAACGCAAGCAGCGCATTTGGTCACAGTGTGATAGCATGAACTGAAGCTGCTCAATCAAAACCGAAACCGAAACTGAGTGGTCAACTAGCTCCCAGAGTGCACTGTAAGTCATTTCGCCGCGAGGGCACTTAGAACATTGGAAGAACTCTATTGTTGGCAGGGAAAGCATCATAGGAATACAAAGCAGACAAACCCACATGACTTTCTATAAACAAATGTTGGTTTTAGTTAATATTCTGTTCAATCAGGGTGGGCTTTTTGATTGTTGGCCATGTCCATAGCCTCTTCCACAGGAAAGCTGAACTTCTATGGTGTTCTTGCCAGAATAAAGTTCACTCTCAAACAAATATGTTTACTGTACTGAAACTGTGAAGAAATGCTCTTTCCAACAAGAGTATGATCATCATTCTAAGGCATACTGGTGTGGAGCTACAATTGTTAGAAAATAGACCTCAAAAGCTCTGGGGACAATTTAAATTATGTTATAGGCGTCACATAACAGATGTTTGTCGGTAAGCACCACTATAATTTCCAAGGCTGTCGTGAGCCGGCGCGCACCTTTT